AAGCAAGGGACAGTGACTTTATTTAATGGCGAGTCACGTCCGTCACGTTACAGTGTTGTTAAACGAACATATGTGGCTTATTATAGGGAGAACGCTTGCCAGGCGAAAATCCACCACGTCCTGGAACACTGTTGCCGACCCATTTGCTAGAACGGAAAAATCCCGAACCACCCGGCTGGCACCACGAGGAGGTTGTTCGGGAAGCCAGCTGCAAATGATTCAATTACAGTGATACTTCCGTTGCTGTCATTTAAGCTGGGAATTATGGAAGGAAGATTAGTAATGGAGGTAGGGATGAGAGTAAGAGAAACAGGTGGAAAGCAAGAAGGGAGGCGCCAGCATTATCATGCTTTTTTCTTATCCGCCCTGCTGTATGGAGGAAACAAGGCGACGACTCTTGATAATCTGCGGGACGTCCGATGCAGGATGAAATTTATGTTTGAGGCAAAAGTCATTGTTTTATGTGGGTTGAGATACTGCCAGGGCGCCCAGGCCTAGACAGGAGGACGATTATGGTCCTCATCCAAAGCCTTTGGCTCAAATGCCTGTCTGCCATCCCATTTCAAACCGACAACCTGGAGGGTCAGGAGACTGAGTGACCCTTGACCAACCTGGTGGGAATAGCTCTCAAAGCACCCGCGGACACCACCCATTATAGCTCATTATGTCAAGGAGGTACGCAAACCGTCGCACCACATTAACTTTCAGTCTCGTTGCGACGGACAGTCTCGTTGCCATGGGTATGCAAGGAGGCTTCGCGAAATATTGCTTATGCTTATAGAACAGTAAAGCAACTCAACAACACTGCACAACAGAAAAGCGGCCTGAGAGAACGGAGTATACTGCAGGGAAAATGAGCGCAAAGTAAACACCTCTTGTGCAACCGGATCATATCCATCTGCCACCACTACACATCAAGCTTGGTTTGATTAAAACTTCGTCAAAGCTCTCAAGTGAGATTGTTTTGCGTTTCATCACCTGAGAAATTGTTTCCGAAGATCAGTGATGCGAAGCTCAAAGAAGGGACACTTAATGGGTCTGGTATTCCTCGGTTATTGGCAGACAGTGCTTTTGAATGCGTTAGAAGCATGGCGATCATTCAAGGCTGTGTACAGGATTTTGGGGCAGAACAAAGGCAGATAGCTAGAGAGACATTATAAAAAATTTCACTACGGACTATCAGGCTGTTGATGTTGGAATGTCACTCAAGATTCACTTTCTGTTCGCGATGAACATGGTGAGCGCTTCTAACAAGACATTTCAGTCATGGAGCAGCGTTACAGTGGCAAGTACACGCCTTCTCTGATGGGTGACTTTTGCTGGTTTCTACAGCGTGAGGGCGCTGGACCATACGAGCGACTATCTCGGCGAAGTCATCATTTCCCAATTCCAAACTGCAGTCAGTAGTTAAGAGCGAGTGTAGCAGTGATAATGATGGCTTAGCTGTCTTCACCGTAGCTGACAGCAGCTTACCACGTTGTGTGCTTTTTCTTATTACCGTAATGGCCTGATGAGAATAATCGAAAAGAGATCTGTTCGCTATTTGGATTTCTTATCTTAAAATGGGCATCATTCATGAGTCAAACATATTTGCTACATACATGCATACTGTATATCTTGTGCTTCAATACATTTACATATATTTCTTACCATATATGTTGGACATTATTGAAGATAATCATTAGCTTATAACGATGTAACCTGGCATGCTAGTTGATATCGGAATACATTTGTACGACCGGTAGAGTGTATTTCATTAGGTAGGAACATTGTCATCGATGTCATAGAAAATAAACTTATTTTTGTCGAAAAGTAGAATGAAGGTTTTATCGCAAATAAATTCTGTTATTCAATTCATTAGTTGGGACTGTTTCCCAAACCATGTCAACTTTTCCAGTAAGACACGATGATTGACGGACTTAAGGGGTTTACTAAAGTTGAGATAACAAACTTCTACTGAAATCCCATCATCGAGACAGTAAGTTATTTTCTCTAAAAAGCACAACTAATTGGTGAGTTATGACTTCTGACACTGTGCTGCTCCGCTCCTATCAAGTATGCGCAAGTAGGGCCGACAAATTCTGTTTCTTATAAGCTTCTCCAAGAAATTGAGCGGAACATGGGTGGACTGACAGGCCTATAGTTAATCATTAATACACCTTTGCCGAAGGTAAGGAACATACCTCAGCTAATGTGCCGCAATACGAAAAAGTAAGACGTTAAGCACTGTAGACTTAAAAGCTATAACAAAAGTAACCTAATGTTAACATCACATTTTGGTGGTTGTTGGAGGGAGAAGTTATAGGGAAGGAGGGACAAAGAGACTCACAACACAAACGTCACTGAGGTCGGCTCTTCGCCATGTCAGCTAGTGTATGCAACCAAACGTGTTTATCATCCCCAGCTACGCAGCCGGGAATCACCAACCGACGCCAACTTCGAAGTGAGGGACTTCATTCCTCCAGAATAAGTCATCGCTTGGCCACCTCTCCTCTTCATCCATCCACACCCGGCACACAAACAACGCACGTCACGGAAGTTGGTGCGCTGTCATGCGCAACACGTGGCCCAGCCATCGGAGCCTGGTGCTTGATATGCTGGTGCTGAGCGGTTCGCTGTTCCTGCACCAAATACGCGACGCCAAACACGCTCATTGCTCACATGATGCTGCCACCAGACAGGAGCTAAGTCGTGAACGCAGCGATGATCGAACGTAGCTAACCTCTTTATGTCTGTCGATTTGGTGGGCCAACTCTCGCAACCATAAAGGAGGATTGTACGAACGGTTACACTTTAAACTCTGCCTTTCAGAGCCAGAGTAATGTCACGCTGGCGCCACAGATGGCGATTAGCAAAAGCACATCGAGCTTTTGCTATACGGTTCGTGATCTCAACTTCTGTTCCACTGGCGCTGATATAGCTGCCCAGATACTTGCATTTCTCAACAACTTCTAAATTATCACCGCCAGGGGTCAGTGCAGGTGTGGGTCCCTGCCAATCTTGGAGAAGAATTTTGCATTTCTATGGTGCAAAGCATAGCCCGAAACGACTGACAGCCAGTGCAACGTAGCACCTTCGGTGGCTGTCACAGATGAGCGAAATATCGTCGCCATATTTCAATTCGAGAAGTCGTTCACCAGGGAGCAGCTCCACAACTTCCAAGTCGTGCCCGGCGAAAGTTGTCTCCGTGACTTCGTCACTGGTGAAGTTAGAAAAGAAAGATGACAGTGAGCAACTTTATCTCACACCACTGGCGATATTGAAGGACGACGACAGATTTCCATAAACCTTCACTCTGCTGGAGCTACGCACCTATAGTGCTCGGATAATGTTCACATATTACTCGGACATACCTTTCCTGAGTACACAGTTCCAAAAGGCACATCGATCAACCGAATCGAAGGCACCTTTGGTGTCGAGAAACAGGACAACAGTGGGCAGCCAGTATATGTGACGGTGTTCCAGTGACTGGTGCAATGTGTAGATGTGGTCACTACTGTCTCGATTTCAACGAAACCCCGTTTGCTCTTTGTGCATCTGGCTTTCTCGAGTGCCACAGGGCAACAGAGGCAAGTAATTTCGAGGCAATAGAGATCAGACTGATTCCTCTATGACTGCTGTATTCGGAACGGGATCCTCCCTTGAAAATTGGAACTATTACGGAACGCATTCGATCTGTCGGGATAGTTCCCTGCTCCCATAGATTCACTAGTAAGTTATATAAATAGTCCATAAGTGCAGGGTCCCCAAATTTGAAAAGGGTTGGATGAATTCGATGTGCTCCGGCGGCCTTGTTCAATTTCAGCCGTCTGATCCCACGTTCGATTCCTGTGCGCGAGAGCGTATTCAAGGGAACGGTCCAGGGAGTAGGGCGCTCATTTGCCGATGGCAAAACTGGTAACTCTGACTGATTACGCTTCTTCTCAAAGTGCTTGGTCCAACGGTCCAAGCGCTTTGACAAGCTGTAGATCGTCTGTTCACTCTCGTCGCTTATCGTTTTGCTAACACCAGGTTTCCGGCTGCCCGTTTCTCGTATCAAACGGAAAAACTTTCGATCGTTACGAAGAGTAGCAGCTGTTTGCATCTCCGAGTCACGATGAGACCATCAGACTTCGCGGTCTGTCTTCAGGATAGCACGTGGTTTCACCTTGAGAGCTTTGCGAGTCTCATTGTATTCGCTTCCAGCTGGAACGCGTCGGTCCTATAGGTAATAGGTGCTTAGTTAGACTCCCTTTGTGTATCGCCACAACAGTTGCCTCTTTTTCACTCTTATGATAACCCGAAGTAACATGTTGCTCAGGTCCAGTACAGTATATTGGAATATATCCGCGAGCGGCTTTATAATGACAGGATACCCACTGACAGATTCGGCCGACTTGTAAACATCCAGTTGTGCCAAAACATCAAAGGCTGATCCATTTAGTGGAATATCTGGTATAATACTCTGTGATGTGATAGGACACCCATTATCCACACACGCCCAGCAACACCTGTGTCTTATACTTGCCATCTGTATTACGGTTACCGTCTTCTTTGCCTTAGGTTACCGACCTCTCTCTCACAAGGAAGCCTTCGACTGAACATAACTATATTCTTCGGTCTTGGTTTCAAACTGAGCTAACCTAACGCCACAGCAGTATTTTGCTTATCTCTGCAATCTAACTGTCGAATTCCTGTATCTTTTATAATGTAGCTAACGCTTTAAGTGCCCACTGATTAGGAAGTAAGTTGCGCGTAGTTTCGAACGTCCAACTACGCGCTTCGGGTGCGTGTCGATTGCTCATGCCAGTTTGTTCAGCTGCTTTATGAATGGGGGTAGCACTTTCACTTTTTATGTCATACTTCTGCGCTTCAGCAGTCTCCTGGACGAATTGCTTCGATCGTCCAGACTTAGTCACCCTTAGTCATATCTATCCACATTTTAACGCGCCATTGTTGCCTTTTATTCTCATTGTTCACATTCTGTTTTTTCTTGCGACTAAACTTATCTTTTCCCCCAGATTGCTCATGTTCCTTCAAAACACATGTTTGCAACGGGCCTCCACCAAAAGTAAAGGTAAGCGATGCATCTATACCCTAAATATATCACCTCCCTTGCCATTCTGTTTCTATTGACTCCGCCCCCCTATGTTTTTTTCCTCTAAAGTACCCAATGTCTATTGATAGCCGTCGCAGAGATGTGTGCGAATCAACGCTAAGAACTATCCAGTCATTTTAACACTTAACACTCTTAACGGCCTTCTCTGGTATGGATATAGGTTTTCATGTACCGCTATCCTTTCATCGTGGTTCGTCCCAGGCATATATTAGGTGCAGTTACGTTTCAAGTATGGCCAAAAAACTCCAATGCACAGCTCCATCGCGACAAAAGGGGATCTTAGCGCGTTCCATCGGATCATTTGCCGATCCGATCCACTCGTCAGGGCCAAGTGATGCCTTGTTCATTTTGCAGGCAAATATACTCACCCGTGGGTATATTTAACTTCAAACTAAAACCTAGAAGTGATATAAGTCGCAAACAAGCTGTCTCAGCGATGCCGTTTTTTCTTCACACGATATCTGGCTATTCGTGAACGTATCGTGTTGACAAGTTGATAGGTATTTTGACCCTGACGGTCTGCTTCAGGCGTTTAGGTTTTGCACTGGCTCACCCTTCTCTCCTTCTCATTATCTTTCATTCTCTAGGTAATTGTGTTTGTACGTCAACGAAGCATCAGTTCAAATGTCTGATCATGATACGCTCGCACCAACTACTGTGGAATAACCCGACTTGTGGACCGTTGCGCTATTCCCGCTGCATTGTGGTCAGAATTCCTAGCTTAGGGTAGAGCTCCCCTTCCGGAAGTGACCGAGAGGCAAAGTCATTATGATCATTTGGACGATAAAATTAGAAAAAAAAGTTATTGGACAACTCTAACAAACTGCACTTGCCGTATGGAGCTCTGGAGACATTCTCACGGACGTTTACTCGTTTTCAGGAGTTGCAGTACGGAAACGTCAGGGTAGAAACCCGTTTCCCTGCCACGTCACTGGCTGGCACGTTTAACCATGTCGAGGGCGGCTTTCAGGTCAAAGTAAACCACCAGCTTAGCCGTTTGTGTTTGTTTACTGTAATACTTGACGGATAGTAACTATGTAGTCGATACGGCCACGACCACGACGAAAGGCAATCTGGTTTTCAAGGATGCCGGTGAGTCATCGCAGAACGATTTCCGTGAGCAGTTTGGACGCAATGGAAATGGAAAGCTGATGGCTAAATACGTTTTGCACAAATCCATTGACCACTTTTGTAGGTGAACACGATATTCGACCGCAAGCAGTTTGAAGGCATCTTTTTCGTTTCACAATCAGTTTTGAATAGGGATAAGTCCACACAACAAAAACCCATCTTTCCACAAAGATGGAGAGAAGTCGTTTGGTTTGCGAGTCTGGTCTTATTACAACACAGAAAGTTCGTGTTGCATTTCTTCCAAGGTGAGTAGTGTGACATCAACTTCCCTTTTCGGCTCAAGTGAATCGGTAACCAGCATTGTTGTTAGTCTGATCAGTGTTTCGTTCAATGGGCAAACCGATACAGTTGGGAGTGGATCAGCTGTTCATCTTTCTCAGATATTAATTCATTAACTGGGGACGTGTTCTTAATGAGTTGTTCCCAGCAGCACTTCTTTATTCCACGGGTCCTTGCCACTAAACAACAGTAACAGTCAATTTTAAGACTCGCAGTCAGTCGTCGTTTCATGGCGTTACGGACACACTGAAACTGAATACCTAAGGGAACTCGTTTACGATCTTTGGTCAAATTGATTAATATCCGAGAAATCCATTCGCATTCCGGACATCCCCCAACTTAGGCGTACAGCAGCCTTCAAAGTAATTTTTCATCACACACTTGAGGCAACTAGCGCTCGCCTCACCAACCTCATTCACCGTTTAAAACTGGTGATCCAGCTCGCTATGATGTTGGCTGTTTTGTTGTAACTTGGAGAGTGGCTACCATGTGCGCGCGCACTGGACTATGGGCGTAATCCAAGCACGTACTCCATCGGTGGCTGATGGGCCCAGGCCGCCGGTGAATTCTGTAAATTCCAGGTGATACAATGTGTATGCTTGAATTGGAAAGCAGTACAGTGGTTGTTCCCAACGCATATTCGAAATCAGAGATAATACATCACGATCCACTCTCAGAAAGCAGGTTTTGGAAAGTCTGGGCACTAGACAGCGCTGCTTCACCTTTCCGGATGACCCATGGCGCAGTGACACGTTGCTGGCATGCGGAAGTTATGGGGTCCGAACCCGGCAGGAGTCCGATGGAAAGCGCACCAATGGCAGACTCAGAAGGTCGAAACAGCACTGTCTAGTGCTTTTCCAGACTTGCCAAAGCCTGCTGACTGAGAGTGAACCTTGCTGAATTATCTGAATTATACCAATTATACCGCTACTCATTCGTAACATATTCGAAGTAACCGATTGCCATTATTTGTTCCGTGTGGGGGGGGGGGTAATTAGACATATCCGACCCGGTGTGTTATGGACCTTTTGCTGTTTTATCCTCACTGCTTGTTGGTATGCATGTAAAACGCCTTAACAATCGAGTTGACTGTCTACATTGGTATCTTACTGGCCGGAGGCTGCGTCTCACTGCCATGCGCCCACGCTAATTGTTTGCTTTCCGTTTATTTTCGTCTCTGCCTTGAGTCTTACCTTGTGTTTGTTACTCCGATTTCGTTTAAGTTGATGCTTATCTCCTGGAAACACTTGTCTATTTGTCTGTTCGCAGAATGCGGTCCTTTCAGATCAGAAAACCGAGCAGTACTGGAGACGCCGGACTAAAAACAATGCTGCCGCGAAGCGGTCACGAGATACTCGTCGTATGCTGGAAAAGCAAGCTCATTTGAAAGCGAGCATACTGGAGCGCGAGAATGCACAGCTACGGTAATCTTGCGTTTATTCGCTTTTTTAGTGCGTTTTCGTGTTGTGAATACAAATATCATGAATTTTGCACTTTCCCTCTCTATGTCTCTCCACTGGACTCAAGATAAACGTTGTTTACGTTACGTCCTCGCTACACTGACGTAGTTGGATACACAGCAACTTTACACAGTAACATACACTGGCGTCTCCTATCGGGGTTGTGTTACTCACAAGTTTGTTCGCTATCAAACCTTTAAGGAACTCAGCTGTTGTCTTTTTTCCTGAGAATATAGAATTTCTTTTATTTGATTACAAAGGCTGCTGCTCTTAACTATTTGGCAATCGATCGAACCCGTGGCAAGTGTACGAACATGTGACTGCATGTTCTCTACACTTAGGAACAAGTGAGGGCTACGATTATTTCTTATGATTCACTGGAATGACCTAGTCACCAAGGAGTGCCCCTACCCTAGATGGGGTAGAGTAAGGTTGGCGTAGGGACATTCATTTTAATCACAAAATTTAGAAAATGGCTACATAAAGACATCTGTGTTGGATGTCAGTGTTGTAATTCAGAAGAAGACTTTCCAAAGATCCATGCATTATCTGGGCACGGTAGTTTGGTGACTCAAAGTATTTAAAATAGTGAATAACAGCTGACAACTAATATATATATATATATATATATATATATTTCCTTATGCATTAATCGAGTGATTTTCTTTCTCTCTCAAGTGATTGGCTGTTGTTTGCTATCCCCGGTGTGGATGCGCTTGATGTGCATGTTGACAAGGTGCCTACCTGTCTATTACCCACAACCTCGTTCATACTGGCTCCAGGAGACAGTCGGTCGTTGCTGGAGGGTACGGGGTGCACGGTCCTTGTGGCCGTGTTAGGATCAAAGATGGGTTCCATGTACTCAGTGTGGAGCGGACTACGGTCCAGCCACCGCCTTGTGTGCGCTTGATTCCCAGATACAGTGTGCATGTGTTTGCTGTGAAGGAGTGTGGGCCGGCTCCGTTGATGAAACGTGGCTCCCATCCGCATGCCTCCTGGTCTTATTCCTTCGGGTTTACACTGGATATGGGGTGTGTGGATGGAGCTGTGGGTGGTGCAGCGCGAGCCATCCATGGTCCGTCTGTATGCGCAGGCGTCCTGTGGTTTGCCACAGTGACACCAAATCCGAAACCGGATGCCGCCAAACTTTATATATATATATATATATATATATATATATATATATATATATATATATATTGATCAAAATCGGTGGCACACATATTGTGCCATCAGAATCATGGCGGAATAAGAAAACAGAACAGGGATAGGAATAAAGGAACATGAACCGTTTTGTCTAGTTTTTCACTCAGTTTTTGAGTTTTTTATTTTTTGTTTCATTGGGGGAGGGTAGGGAAATCACTGGAACACTCAGTGATACATGTTCGCCATTGACGTCGGTCTTGAGCCATGCTTTCCAGGGTCTCCAATCAGCAACACTCTGCATCACTGAAATCCCAACCAGGGCGTCGAAAACAACCGACCGAGGCCAACTGTTTCCTCAGCTTTTTCATGTGGGTTCTCCATGTTGTAGGTTATCCACGGCACCGTCTCCTCCACTCCTGTCCAGCAACCGCGAACAACGCCCAACACAGAAGACGATGAGCGAGGATGCGCAGTACGTGTCCCAGCCACCGTAGCTGACGCGGCGGGACGAGCTCCTCCAGCGAGTGGCTGCCTCTACCCAAGACGCTGTCTAACTTCCACATTGGTTTTGTGGTGCAGCCACCACACACGGGCAGTGGACCGCGTGCGACCGTACTCAAAAACAGAGTCGGCGCAAGTCAACGGCACGAACAGGTCTCGCAACCGTACAACAGTATAGCGCAGACAGTCGCACAACCCGCCCTTTGATGGAGAGAGGAATGTCATGGTGGTACCACGAGTACTCCAGCATAGAGTAAGGGAGACGAGCTCTTGAGATGCACATCGAAATCTCTCCAACAGCTCCATCAGCATTGGTGCAGTTTCCCAGGTAGACAAACCTCCATAACTTCTGGTGTCTGGCCACTAAGAGTGAATGCAGGTACAGGCATCTGAAAGTCTTGAAAAAGAGATTTTCACTTGCATGGGGGAAAAGCTATCCCATACTTCGATGATTTAATCGCCAGCTGGTTAAGTGCAACCTGGACGGTCTATGTACCGTCATCCAGCAAGACGATGTTATCAGCGATGTTCTCGGAAGAGCAACACCCACAGCTCTAACCACACACCCAATTTCCAGTGTAAACCCGAAGGAATAAGACCGGGAGGCATGTGGATGGGAGCCACGTTTCATCAACGGGGCCCGCCCACACTCTTTCACAGGCACACACAAGCACGCTGTATTTGGAGAACCAAGCGAACACAAGGCGGTGGCTGGACCGTAGTCCGCTCCACACTGAGTACATGGAACCAATCTTTGATCCTAACACGGCCACAAGGACCGTGCACCCCGTACCCTCCAGCAACGACCGACTGTCTCCTGGAGCCAGTATGAACGAGGTTGTGGGTAATAGACAGGTAGGCACCTTGTCAACATGCACATCAAGCGCAGCCACTCCGGGATATTAAGCAACAGCCAATCACTTGGGAGAAAGCTAACAAGGAAAATAACTCGATTAGTGCATAAGGAAACGTGACAAAAATCTTAAATTAACGAGCATATGAAATAAGTTGTTAACAAAGGATCCGAGATAAGTTCAGGAGGTCAGAAAGTATATTTTACAGAAATGACACAAATACGAAAATGTTATCGAAATTAACTACAATTGGCTTAAGCGAGTTGTGCAGGTTTATAGAAAAGCGTACAGGTGGACATTTATTTGAGAAAGAAAAGCATTAGTACAAAATTGAAAACCCACCACATGAAATTAAGAGACTTAGCATGCAAGCCCGCGGTTAGTAAATCGAACGCAGCGTACCTACAAACGCTGCGCTGGTTCTGCCTACATTCTTTGCAGCACCCATCGTCGGTTCGGTAGTGGTCACGAGTGGCCTCGCTCATGGCTCACTAAGCCTGCCTGACTAAGGCACTCGCGACCGCATGTTCTACAGCACCATGCGCTTGATGTCGATTGAATACAACCCATTGGTGCTTGCCCTTTTCGCACTTGCCGCTTCTTCTCCGCATGCATGAGGACTTTCTCCCGCACTTCGGCAATCGCCTTCGTGATCAGATCGCGCAATGCACACCGATCAACCGCCTGCGATTTCCATGACCTGCCATTAAGATTAGAACGTGAGAGGCTTACTTTAATCATGTCCTCGTAACGCAACTTTGATTTTCCCAAATGCCGCTTCCAGATACTCAGCTGACCATATAAGAGTTGTTTCGGTATCCGCGTCGAATCCATACGGCTCACATGACTGAGCCACCTCAGGTGTCTCAGCAAAAGTATGCAGTCCACTGCATGCATCCCACTTTGTCGCAGCACTTCTGTGTCCGCAACTCTGTCGCCCCAGCCAATGCGCAAAATCCGTCGCAGACACTGCTGATGGAACCGCTCGAGATATCGCACATCTCGACGGCACATCGTCCACATTTCACTGCCGTATAGAAGAACGGACAGCACCATGGATTTGTACACCATCAGCTTCGTGCCATTGGTAAGCTGATGGTTGTTCCATGCTCCGTACTCTAGCTTTTCGAATGTCGTCGCTGCCTTCGACACGCGGATACGCAGCTCACTGTGTATCTGCTGGTTAGTCGACATCACACTCCAAAGGTAGCAGAAGCGGGAGGTGGTTTCCAATACTTCAGCACCAAGGCTAATTTGCGGCAATATTGAAGATTTCATCTCCGGTGAAAACTGAAACAAACAGACAGTTTTGCTTGTGTTGATGGTGAGCTCGAATTTGGCCGCTGTCGAAGCCAGAACACTAGTCATATGTTGCAACTCATCAGCGCTGTGTGAAAACAACACACAGTCGTCAGCAAACAGCAACATACGGATAGTTGTCTCACAGACTAGAGTTCTTGCACCGAAACGACGGATGTTCAGCAACCCACCATCAATACGGTGCTCCACACGAACACCGTAAGCACAAGCGGCACCAAAAGCACAAGACATCATTGCATGACGATATATATTAAACAGGGCAGGAGCTAAGACACAGCCTTGCTTCACACCAGAGACAACTGCAAAGTCATCCTTGGTCTCTCCACTCAGCTGCACCCTCGCTCGCATACCATTGTGCAGACATTCAATTAAACTTACAAACTTACTCGGACAACCAAACTTACTCAACACCAGCCACAATGCCTCGCGGTTCACCGTATCAAATGCCTTGGTGAAATTAACAAAAAGCAAGTACAATGGCTGGTGTCGTTCTTTGCACTTCTCCTGCAACTGACGAGTCGCAAACACCATATCTATAGTGCTGCGACCCGAACGGAATCCACATTGCTCTTCCGCCACGTTAGATTCCACAACTTGACTGACGAGGCGGTTGATCAGGTTTCGGACAATCACCTTGCCCACACAACCCAGCAAGTTGATGCCACGATAATTCGTGCAACATTGCTTGCTCCTTTTGCCCTTGTACAGTGGTAGCACAAGGGCATCCTTCAGCTCAGGAGGCACCTCCTCCTCAATCCATACATGTTGCACAAAGTGGTGCAGCGCAGTCAACAACGCGGATCCGCCGTGTTTCAATACTTCAGGCGACATCCCGTCGGCTCCGGCACATTTGCCGTTTCGCAGCTGAGCAAGTGCTCTCTGCTTCTCATCCAGTGTCGTCGTGTCGGCCAGACTCGTCTCCATATCGTGCTGCTTCAGGCAGTTCAGTGTAGGCCAGTCGATCTCTGAACGGTTGTACAAGAAACAGTCAAAGTGTTTTTGCCAGGTCTGCATTATGTCTGCAGTCTATGTGCAGGTAGCGCCTGAACTACCATCGATCAGCGTCCTCAGCGGCTCCAATCTCGGTCCATACACCGCCATCAAGGGGTCAAAGAATTCCTTGTGTTGGCGGCGTTCGGCGTA